GTTCCTACCCTCACTTATGGTCATGAAATCTGGATAATGACCCAAAGAACAAGATTCTAGGTTCAAGCGGCTGAAATTAGCTTTCTCTTCAGGGTTCGTGGGCTCTCCTTTAGCGATAGGGTGAGGAGCTCCATCATCGGGGAATGGCTCAGAGTAGAGCCGCTCCTCCCTCACATCTAGAGAAGTTAGGTCACGTGGCTCGGACATCTTTTGGGAACCCCCCTGGACGCCTCCAGGCACGTCCCACTGGGAGGAGGCCCAGGGGACGACCCAGGATGCGCTGGAGGGACTATGTCTGGCCTGGGAGCGCCTCAGGAGTCCAGAGGAGTCTGGATAGAGGGACGTCTCTGCTGAGACTGTTGCCCGGGCAACCCGGGCCCAGATGAATTAGGAGTCATCGAGTACGAGTACTTGTAGTTACTTTAAATGTACTTCAACAAATGTGAACCACAGGCATATATATGCCTTTTATACTAGTAGTGTGAAGATGACTGTACTTGCTGTATATTTTAGTTTTTGATTTAACTATGTAACATGTCCCAATTTAAGGCAAAAAAGTATTAAATTAGCATACTTTCAAGTACACTACCAGTACATGATCTGTTAAATACTTGCTATATGTATGCTCTACTTAACTAAATTAAGTTTAAGTATACAACTTTTTACTATCATTCATTTAATTTAAAAGGTTCATTTTAATGAACTTCAAATTATTTCGTATAAACTATAAGTAGACTCGGATGTTTATTAAGTTTAGTTTCATATATAGACATATGTAAAGTAAACTATATATTGTATTCATCAAAGTAAACTTAAGGTTGGTCAGTTTACTCCCAAGAACTTTATTTGTTTGTAAACTTCTGCTCTACTTGCATCAATGAATTTGGTAAACCTGGAATATATACATAGAAGATACGTATATATTCAGTAAATATGAACTTCATATATGAAGATATGAACTTGAATTATGCCTAGTTTTAGTTTGCTAAAAATAATCTGGCTCCACTGCATTGGGAAGGTTTACTTTTAATAGTTAAACTTTAAATCAGTACAGAATTATGCAAAAAAAGTGAGTTAAAACTTCACCAGCGCAGATGGAGTGTCTGCATAGCTTAGCATGAGGTCCATGAATAATGGACAGTGTTCGATCTGTATGAAGGCACAGCCAGTATGGTATTTACTTAAATAGACAGAGATATATGTCTACACTGGAAAAAAT